ATATATGATTTTATACTTTTTATCTTTTTTACTTTATAATAAAAAAGCTTCTCAATCAACCAAGATATTAAAAAGTATTTCAAAACAAACTAATATTAGCAACCATATACATATTAAATTAAAGACAATCACATTATATCGGGGAGAATCTGAAGTTTATGATTTATTAAGATTAAATATGCACTAACGAAGATCATTCCAAGTCCTTAATCAACTCCTTTAAGCATTTTTAATTATCTTTAATTTTGATAGACTAACTCAGTTTATCAGTTTTATAGCAATTTATTTTCAAATTTGGAAATGCTTTATTTAATTTTTAATAACTCAATAAAATGTCTAAAGCGCATAATACTTCAAATAGTTTAATTAAGCTAGTTATTACCAATATTACTAATAAATTAATATTTTCAAAACATAATAAGATTGACATTGCAAAAAACTAATGCAAGTTTTATGTTTATTGTAAATCATAGAGGGTAATCTGCAATGAATGTAATTTATTAAGGGAATATATTCTATATTCATGCTAAAAAATGAAGATTTATATATTGCATAGTATTGACTGGCATATTTTAATTATATGTTTCTTTATATTATTAATAATATATAAACTTATAATAATATGCATCCGTTATAATTATATTGAGCTTGGCTATATTATTCAAATTAAGTATAAACTGTGGCAATTAATAGCCAAGAAACAAACATTAAATGAAATAAATTAACGGATAGATATTTGTACTACAGACACAAAAAAATTGACTATTTCCATTAAAAGATTTGAATTAATTTGTATCCAGTAATTAAATCATAGAGTTAAAGTTACAACTTGTATTAATAATACTCTAAAAATCATTTTAATAGTTATTTGAAATATTGTTAATGTTTAAGTGAGTTGTAGCGAAATTTCTGAGCTATAATAGCTATTTATATCCTTGTTTTACTAATAATAGTTACATAAAAACAATACCGCAATAGCAATTATATTGGCGTTTTCATACAAAAATAACTATAAAACTCCAAAGGGCAAAATTGAGAAAATAGGGCAATATATTGAATATTAGATACCTAATTTATTCATAGCTCATTCAGGTTTTACTGCATTTACTAGAATTTTCACTTTAATTTAGCAATGCAAGATTAAGCTCTATTCTCTATTAATATTGTGAGAGATATAGAGTTTTAATTTAGTGTATGTTAATTATAGAGCGAGAGCTTGGATTTTATTAACACGAGTGTAACTAATATTTTAACTCGAGTTAATTTAGTTTTAAAGGATTGTTTATATATGGTCAAGATAATAAATGAATACAAATTGACATTGGAAGAGAGAGGGAGAAAGGTGTGTGCGAGTGTGTTGAAGATTACCTGAAGTGCAAATCACCTCCTGCCATTTAACTTAAAATTGGAAGTAAAATTTAAGTGATTAATTAGAGTGTGGGGGAAAACTCAGAATCTACTTCACACTATTATTTAACACACAAATTACAGATCCACTAAATTTACCCTCCATCTTTAATAATCAGCATAATTTTATTGGTTAATATATCCAAAGGTAATAGGTTAGCTACTTGGATTCGATTACTCCTGAATTCAGGCCAATCATCGAACTTTGATATGGAGGGGGTAGAGGAGTAGGCTTGGGAAATTGGGTTTAGCACAAAGCTCATAGAAAAAAAAAGAAGGTAATTAACTTGGCTTATTGGAAATATTCAGCCGATTTTTGAATTGAATTTAATTGGAACAATTAATTAGAGAGGGAGTATATTAATAAGAGGCCAATAAAGAATTTAATGATCTTCACTTCTTTCTTATACTCTACACTTTTTCACTATCTTATTAATTAATTAATCATTTAAAGAAAAGTTGGAATAATTTTTTTTGAAATAATATATAAATTTAGATAAAAATATATAATTGAATAATATGGCTTACAAAGCAGGGTTAGAACAGTGGAGTTTAGCCGTTAAGGCCTATGAGGAACAGAATTATGAGGAAGCCCTAAATATTTTTACCGATATGGGCGGTGGTTCTAAAATTCAGTATAATATCGGTAATATTTATTCACTATTAGGTGATAATGACTTAGCTGTAAGTATTCAATAGTATTCTGCTTTTTACAATTATAATTAATTAAATCTAGATTGCCTCCTTTACAGCTTCTATTCAATTAGATAACTATTTCGCTATTGGTTACTTTGCTAGAGGTATTTCTAACTTTGAAATTGGCGATTTAGAATCTGCTTTTGAAGATTTTAACAATGCTTTATTGGTAATTTTATAAAAAAGTATAGCTTAACTTTTAACTTATTTTAAATATAGTACTTAAGAGGAAACTTATTTATTGATTATTTCCAACTTGGTATGGATTTCAAATTATACTCTTGCGAAGTATTGTATAACAGAGCTATTTGCTACTTTAAAATGAACCAACCTGCAGAAGCTATGAACGATTTATTAGCCGCTTTTAACGATA